CACACGATTCAAATCCCTATCACACAACACAACCATATCGAACAAACTATCGCTAATTTGAAAGACCACTTTAATTTTCAAGGCGTTCCACCATATCTACTCAACCTTTCCAACTTACCTGACCCCTACTGGGACATTCTCGACAACTACTCACCTTAATTATGAGTGACAATCTCAATATCGATACTCACTCCACACATACTACAAACAACTCATCTAATCCTCTTTCTATTCCTACTTTACCTACATCACCCTCAACTGTCGCTAGAGATAATTCATTATCTCTTAACTCTTTACTCTCTAATGAAAACCCACTCCTAAACACTAGTCTTGATATTCATAATTATCTTAACATAGCTACACATAATGCCCAAGGTCTTAAACTCTAAATTTGGCTAGAATTTTGTGCAAAAAACAACTACCACATTATTTCAATAACTGAAACAAAACTAAAAGACTCGGCTACAGCATCTCTTTCTAATCCTTACTACAAGATCTACACCTCAAACTTTGTCCCAAAAAACAAAACTCAGCGAGAAGCAAGTCTAGGCACTGCAATTGCACTACATAATGCCCTACAACCCTTTATTCACAACATACAAACCTTTCCAGGCACAGCAATATGCATTGACTTCTACCTTCTTTCAAACAACAAACTCCACCTAATATCTCTTTACCTATCCTTAAACCATCCTGAACAATCTACATTAACTCAAAATACGATTGCAAATTGGTTACTAAAAGCTAGACACAGAGGATGGCATACAATTACCCTTGGTGACTTTAATGACAACTTAACACGTTGCAAAAGAGCCTCAAAACTATTTTTCACTCTACAATCCCTATCTTCTACAAGTCTTCTTGATTTCTTTTCTATTACAGAACAAACCTGGAAACGAGGATCTCAACAAAGCCAAATCGATGACATATGGGTTAATCCAGAAATCCTTTTAAACTTCAGCCCACCACTATTAATCGATCCAACTGATATCACAAACAGTGACCACAAAATAATTACTACTACGTGAAAAACCAACTTCAACCTCAAGCTACCAAGATCAAAGAAAAAGAAAAGAAAAATTTATCTTTATAACCAAATGACAGCAAACTCTTGGCAAGGCTTTTTAAAAGCAGTAGAAAATAAATTCCAAACTTTGAACATCTCATCTCCTTCCAAAAACTATGACTAACTCAACAAGCACTGGAACAAATAGTCAAACACAATAAAGAAAATCACTAATCGAGAAATACCTACTATACTCAAGGCACCAAAAACCTTCTATTCCTTCTCAACAAAAGCAACAAAGCTATATTCAGCACTCAAAGCAATTAATAATGCACTTCATAGCTTCCGTTCAATCCAACCTCAAACTCAATTTCCTTTACTATCCAATCCATCAACATTCTACTCCAAAAAGCAGCCTCCCTTACAGAGTATGAAGTTACACTTATCCAACCCTTAGATCTAACTTCAAACTATGCCAACTTCTTAACAATACTAAAAGAGCTAAAAAATACAATATGGAAAGCTCGAAGTGCAGAAACAAGAGCAGCACAAAGAGAAAAATTAATTTTTATATACAAAGACACTACAACGATATGGAAACAAATACTTCAAGAATGATAAACAGTATACTCAACAGAAAAAAGACACATATCTCTTTTGACAAAATAATTTCTTCAGATAAAATAATTACGGACCCTAAGGAGATAAAACAAGCAACTAAAGACCACTTCAACAATTGGACCAAACCTAATCCAACCAACACAAGCTTCGAACACGAATGGACACCCTTCTTACAACCCCTCCCAAACATCTATGAGCCTCTAATCCAGGCTATAACACACGACGAACTATGCAATACTATCAATATAGCACCAACTCAGAAGGCAACTGGCTCATCTGGGATATCGAATGAAATGATCAAACACCTACTATATACTGCAATCTCCTCATTACTACTAATCTTTAACGCATGTTTATATTTAGAACAGACACCAAAAAGTTGGGGGATAGCGAACATATGGCAATTCTAAAGAAACAACACTACAACAATGATCTAAATTACACACACTCTATCACACTTATCAAACATACACAGAAGATCTTCACAAAAATACTTACCCTTCGACTCAACCAAATACTTACTCGATATCAAATTCTCTCTAAAAACAATAACGTAGCCCTCCCATACACCTCAACCCTCCAACTAATTCAAACTGTCACTCATATCATTGAACATGCCTACATTACAAATAAACAATACTGGCTTCTTGCGCAAGATATGTTCAAGGTATATGACACTATACACATCCCACTTCTCATTAAAACACTACTGAGAATTCACCTTCCCTCTAAATTCATTAACCTTCTAAGCCATCTCCTCAACAGTAGACAAAACACCATAATAATGGATATTAGAATGACAGAGCCCTACAAAGTCCAAGATAAAATCGACCAGGGAGAAACCTTCTCACCGATTCTCTGGAGAATCTATTACGACCCCCTAATTAGCAGAATCAACTCAACCTTTCAAGGATACGTATTTGACACGCATACTCCTAAAGCTGCGATATCAATACACACTTTAGTAGTCACATACATAGATGATACAGTTTGGATTGCTGACAGCAAAAATGAACTACAAAACATACTCAAAACCATCGACTCATTCTTATCTTTTGCAAGCATCAAAGTTAACCCTCACAAGTCAACACTGATCTCAAATGACCCTGACCCATCAGCTTCTATTACTTTTCATGAACAAACTATTACTAATATCAAATATAATGACATCTTCCGCCATTTGGGAGTATGGCTCACATGTAACCCCTTTCTCAAAGCTGTGAAAAAACTCATCACAAATGAAATTATCTTCAACATCAACAAACTTCAATATGCTAAAATTACTGAAAAACAAGCAATATACATTATTAATAATGTTATTTTAACACGGGCAGCCTATCAAATGAAAAGTACTTACTTAACAAAACATGTCTGTCTCAAAGTTACAAATCTTTATACTAATATAGTAAAACAGAAAGTATGCTTATCTCGTTCTACACCCAACTCAACCCTATATTACCCATCGATTTATGCCTTAAACACACTTTACGACATCCAACAACAACAACAAATAAGGACATTGGACCACAGTATTCACTTCTCGGACTTCAACAACTCAAGCTTCAAAATCAGACTACAACAACTTCAAAATGCTGCTAACTCAAATCAATCGATTTTTCTTGAACAACCAATCTTTTCCACTAATGAATCCAAAACTAATATGCTCAATTAATAATAACCCTACATAAACTAAATATCCAACTAGCTCGACCAACCAACCCATGACCAATCCCCAAACAACTCAAAGGCACCTCAATCAATCATATTCTATTAGCTATCAAGCAACCTTCAGCGATCAAGCACAAACTGAATAAGCACAATATCACCTGTATTGAACAATTCCTAAACTATACGAATACATGCATTCTAGATTGGTCTTTCTTCCACCATAATATCCAAAAAATCCCCAGAGGAAAAATTCTTCGCTGGTTTAAAACGATCTTAAATTTAATAACAGAATCTTCAAACCCATTAACCTCCTTAATTTATCTCAACCCATTTACATTTACACCAATCGACCTATCCACCTCCAAATGGATCCTTACTAAATCAAAACAATTCGGCAAAATCACCAGCCTAAAAAACAATCTTGCCAAAATTAAACACTATATCTCACACCCACTAGACCCAAAACGACTCATTCCTTGCCCAGGATGTCAAGAAAAAAACTACTCACTCAAAACCAAACACTGCTTCTTTATAGCCCAAACCTATTTTATTTACAAAATCCAAGTAGATTGCAGAAAACAAATCTATGGCAAAATTACATGTCTATTACATCTACTTATCGACTCTCCTTCAAAACAAAATACTACTCCTTTTCTATCAACAATTGATTATAGAACTACTTACCGCTTTCTACAGTTCTTCGACCATATCCAAACTGAAATATGGAAATTATACACTGAAGCAACCTTCCCCAAAACATATAGAACTATACATTACCATTAAAACTAAATCAACACAAAACACCAAAATTCTTTTTGCACAAATACAATTTCAATACAACCAACAAACATGGCATTTCACAAATATATTATTCCTATCTCATACATATGCAATATTTACGGCTCTAGCAATGGTTTACATTATCGCTCCTCCCCAAACTAAAATAACCATTTCTACTGATAAAAGGTGGCTCCAACTTAAAATCGAATCAATACTTAACCTTCTATCTACCACTAGCAACACATTCGTAAAATACCTTTCAACAGTATTATATCCACAATAAAAGCAATTATATTAGCAAAAGATCACCTATTAACACCAACCTAACTAAAAAAAAAATTAAAATTCAAATGCCAAACCTTCAACTCTATACAAATCTTCTTCCTCAAGCAGTAATAAGCTCAAACTATATTCCTTGTATTCATGATATCCCAACAACCTACTTCATTCACCAAATACCCAAAATTATACAAAAAGCCAAAGCTACCATCAAATGGAACGAACAAAACCGCATCAAATCAACAATACAGAAAAGTCCAAACATTCACTGAAAACTAACTCTAGATTACAGCACTTTAATAGCTAATAAATTATAAATTTGGAACATAAAAATCGGGTATTGGTTTTCTTTACTATATATCAAAGTCGTCTTTTTCTCTTATACAGTATAAGTATATTGGTTTAGCTTTTACAACACTTTAATAATTAATATATTACAAATTTGAAATACAAAAATTGGGTACTGGTTCTCTTTACCATGTACCAGAGTCAACTTTATTTTATACAGTATATTGGTGAGCATTTTACAGTACTTAATACAATAGATTTATCAATTAGATTATATACAAAATTTGTATAAATCTTTAAAAAGTTTTATTAACTCTTTTAATTGATAATCTGCCAGTCAACAGAAGAATAAACAGTGTAACGTGACACAAATCACTATGTAAATCCAATATAGTGTGAATCTGAAAAATTTCTACTGTTCGTCCAAAGAAAATATTTTTTCGTACTAAGTTAATCGATTTTG